CAGCCTGGAAATAAGGCGGCCACTTCCTTCCCTGGCAGGCGGGTGGGGAGTGTTATGGGCTTGAGCCATTTGTTCAGTTCAAACAATTAAATTCAGTAAGCATTTACCCATCTCCAACTACATGCCATACGTTCTCCTTCATTCTGGGATGAAAAGGTGACGAAAATACAGCTACTGTCCTCAGGAAGTTCATCATCTCCAATCATCACCATAAAAATACTTACAACAGTAACACGTTGCATGTGTATTTCCTATCATATTTGTCTGATAGAACTTAAGTTCGACCTTTACAACACCCCGTGAGATAGGCACTGTTATTTACATCATTTCACAGGTAGGGAAACTGGCACAGAGAAGTTAAGTAACTTACCTGAAGTAACACAGTGGTAGGTAGTGGAGGTGGGGTTTGAACCCATGTCTGTCTGACTCATGAGCCCATGCTCGATTTGTGCTTGGGCTCCAAAGTATTTTAGAGCTGGAACTCCTTCCTTGCCACTTCCCTGTCACTCCCACCCCATGTCCCTCTCAACTCTTCCAACCCTGAAACCAGCCGTGGAACTGGGAAACTGACTGAAATGATGGTGGTAGTTGCTGTTGGGAAAGACCTTACTGTCCAGTGATGGAATTTACTTTTATGGAGAGTATTATTACTGGCTGCTGCTGGAGCTAGAGAAAGTTCTCCTGGCCGACAGGGTTTAAGTGCCTCCTGCAGAGCACGCTGAGTGTTCTTTTGATCACATCTGCAAAATAAGCAAATATGGTTTCAAAATAAACGGAACTCGCTGCATGGGTTTCATTATGAATGGCCTGAGTACTCGGGGCACCAGGGGATCCCTCTAATTGGCCATCAGCGACGTTAGTGCCTCAGCCCTAGTCCCCGGACAAAGCATGGGAACGACCTTGCATCATCTTTTTTTGTTGTTGCTCTCAGTTGAAGGGGTGTGTCATAGGGAGACTATTTCCTTGCTTGGGAGGATGGAGTGGCTTTGGTGTTTGGATCCTGTTTGCAGATCATGGCGGCCACCATTAGTCACCATCATCCTTTGAGAGGCCCCTTGAAGCCATGTCCCAGTGACCTCTTGTTCCTGTAAGTGGTTGACCATGGTCACATGTTTTTGTGTAGTCCTTCGAATAAGGAGGAAACAGTTGGCCAAAGCAGTTTTCTCTAAGAACAGGAAGTGAAATCTCTTTGCATTTCTGGCAAAGTGGCTGGAGTATTTGAGAAGGAGACCGACTAGCTGCAGAGTTAGAAAATTCCATTCTGTATGGCTTCCTAGCTGGTTTGCATTGGCAAAGCAACTTCACCCCATTTTTTCTTCTATAAAATAGGGCAACAGTAATGCCCATAGGCTTGTTTTGAGGACTAAAACAGATACTCTGTGTTTACCTATATAAATGGCTAAGTACTGGGTAATGAGTCAAGGTTAAGAGTGGTGTCTTTGGAGTTGGATAGCCTGGGTTTGAATTGCAGCCCTTCCCCTTACTAATGGCAGTATTTTGGATAAATTACTCCCCTATCTAAGCCTCAGTTTCCTCATTTGTGCAGCAGGGATCCCAGTCCCTTTCTCTGAGGATTGTTGTTGATTTGTTCATTTGTTTTCAATGAGTATTTCCTGAACAGTTACCGTGGGCCATGCCCTGTGCCTTGTCCTGGGGATTCGATGACAGGCATGAGGATTTTACAATAAATAGGCAAATCACTTAGCACTGACTCTTAATATCCAAGGTGCCTGCTTAAATGTCTGGCCACTGGGGAGGAAGTTGAACAGGAAGTGAGCGGCCCTGAAGGTACCTGGGGCCTGGGGAGTGGTGGTCAGGCCATGGCTAGAGAATTGGCTTTTGACCTGAGGGACACGTAATAAGGGTTTGTGTCATCCTCCTCGGTAACCTTCTCTGCAGATTCTTCCTGCCACCTGCCCCCAGAGCTCTCAAAGCTAAATGTAGCCTTTACAAGGCCTGGAATGTGAGCCTCTCGCTTGAGGATTGGGCTCTGTAGAACAGCGTGACCTCTTGCTCCCGTAACGTGGTCCCAGAAGTGATAAGGCACATAGCTTCCTACGGAGTCATAGAATTGCCCAATGGAGAAGAATGGTTAGAATTCTGCAAGCAGCTGTACTGGGAGCAATAGGTAGGGGCCCAGGAGACTAGCTCATGTGCATAGCAGTAGGGCCGTGATGTTGGGCCTCCCAGATCCCAGGATCAAGTCCTTCAATCCAGGATCCATTTCCATTCGATAGGGAATAGCAGACACATAGTGCATTATAGAAATTAAAGTTTTGGTCATATCTTTTTCTTTAGGATGTTCAATCCTTTGGAGTTTCTCCTTTGGCATTTACCAAGGTAAAACACACACACACATCCCAAGCAGAAACCAATCCTCCCCACTCTTCTGACACTAAAGCCTTCCTTCTACTTGAGAACCATACACCTTGAAAGAACCTTGGCGGTCATTTTCCAACCCCTTGTTTTAAAGATTATGGCCCAGAAAGTCTAAGTGATGTGCCCAAGATCACACACAACGAATCAGTATAGACTAAATTATTGTGTTTTTGTTTCCCCAGCGTGTGGCACAGTGCTTGTCACATAGTAGGTGCTCTTAAGCTGTTTGATTTTGGAGTGAAGGGATGACAGCCAGGATTAGAACTCACGTGTTTGACTTCCAGGCAAATTCTCTTTTTATTATCTCGCACCCACTTCCAAGGTTTTTAAAAATATGTTTCAGCTGGCGTTCATTTGTCTTCCGGCTATATATGTTCAGCTCTTCCTGAGTCAGCATTTTGCTGAAAACTTACTTAGAAAGATCACTTGTGACAATGGCAGGCAGGCACAGACACATGGCCACAAGCTGGCCTTCATGTTTAAGAAAGTCCATGACATCACTGTCTGGACTGGGGGACCGTTGACACTGATGGCCTATTACCAAGCAATGGAATATGAGCAGTGAGTTGCCTCTTGGATTCCACTCTTTAAATGTGGGTGCGTCTTCCCTATTCTAACGGTGGAGGGCTTTTGCCCATGAAGCCTATAAAAATGCTACTGGTTTAAGCTTGTCACACATCACTGCAGTTTTGGTATGAGCCATACAGCTTGTTAATCTCACCTTCCTTGCCTGATGTTGATTTGCAAAGAGGACATCTGGCGCTGGAAATTATTTATCTGGCCACCGCGAGAGGCTGTGACTTCTAAAAATATTCACACAGTCGGTCAGCAGAAAGAATGAGAGCAATGTGCTTCTTTGGGTTGCATTCCGTACTCTGTGGAGAAGCATGTCTACTAAAATAGACACCCAGTGTAGCATTAATTTGCAATTAATAAAAACGGGCCAGATTCACATCCCACTCTCTGGGAGAATGGAATGCCGACAATTCCCATAGGAGGCTCCTGTAAAAATGCTTTACAATGAGAAGAGGTCCAGGCACCAGGGTCAGCTGACCTCCTCAAAGAGGGCTGGGAATTTGGTGAGCTCCCAGGGCTCAGAGTAGAGGGGCATAGGGCAAATGGCTCATTGCCTCTGATGACAATGGAAACTCAGCTGCTGCCGATAAGAAAGGAAGCTTTGAATGGACAGGGCTAAGGCAAGATAGGAACCTTGAGCCTTAGCAAGACCAAGTGGGGCAGCTCAGGACATGGGCCTCTGGGCTTTGAGTATATGAATGTGAGAATGTGCATTCATGCATTAATTAATCCATTCATTTTTTTGTTCATTTACCCATTTATGTGTGTGTATACATATATATCCATGCATGCTTGCATTCAGTCATCCATTCTTGCACTTACTCATTGAACAAATTGAGTCTCTCCTACGAGCACTCTTTATTTGACCATAACTATTTACTAAGGTCCTGCTGGGTGCCTGGGCCTGTGCTGCATGCTGGGAATTTAATCGTGAACCAGATGGTCAGGACTTTGTCTTGTTGGAGCTCAGAATCTAGCACTTGTGACATCATCAGTCGTGATGAGCCATGAGAAGGATATAGAGGTGAATGAGGAAGATAAGGTACCTGCCCTAATGGACTGAGAATTTCAGATGGGGATACAAGCAATAAACAAAGCAATATGTAATGTAATTGCCCAGTGGTGATGAAAATCTATTCAGGGTAGAGTTGGAGAATGGTAGGTGCTATTTTAGCTGGGGGGGGGGGGGGGGTCAGAGAAGACCCTTTGCATAGGACTCGAACTCCTCAAATCCAACAAGTTTTCTCTGGATTCCTGGCCTTTGCATGCATGGTTCCCTCTGCCTGGGATGCTCTTCCTACAGCTCTTTGCCTATTCCTTTTTTTGAGTCTCAGCTTGAACCACGTCGTCTTGCAGGAAGGCTTTCCAGCTCCTTGTCCCTTGGCAGGGCCTGGTTATGTGCCTCTTAGTGCCCTGTGTAATATGCTGTGGCAGTGCTGAGCAGGAAGTGGTGGGTCTATTCGCTGGATGGACCAGAAAGCCTTCGCTGAGGAAGTGGTGATTGAACTGGGTTTTGAAGGATGGATAGGAGTTCAGCAGAGAGGACTGTAATGGTCTTCCAAGGGGAAGGAGCAGCGGGCACAGGAACAGGGCATGGAGGCTAAAAAAGGAAAGTAACTTTTATTGAGCCTGTGTTGAAAGCCAGAGCCCTGAGCCAGACCTTCCACTTGCTTTATTTCATTTGGTTCTCAGAATGTCTCCACCAGCATGGGTCTGGTTACGCCTATTTTACAGATGAGGCGGCTCCTGCAGTTGATAAGTGATGGAGCTGGCCACAAACCTATGGTTATAGGACTCTACAGATCAGGCACCTGATAAACTCTACCCTTTACTGCTTTCACCCAAATTTGCCTTAAATCCAGGAATGCATCACATGAGGACACTTTTTGGCCCTCGCTTCAGTTGGCCTTACTGGTCTGTAGGCAGCTTGTGTTCAGCTGTC